GCACCTCGAACTGAACTCCTTCGCGGTGGCCGCGACGTCCCGGGGTGGTCATAAGCATGCGACGATGCATTCACCACACTTAGACGCTTTCTAACTTCACCTTCAATACTGCGACATTTTGACCCACTCGCCCTGACTGAACTGCACAACGACGCTAGCGGTGGTGGTTTCAGCGTTGTCGAAAGCGTAAACCTGAATTCCACGAGTACATTGTCTCTTATGCCAGCCTTGCGCTCACCGAAGCCGAAACCAACTACTCCGTGACGGAAAAAGAATGCTTAGCTATCATATTGGTCATAGACAAGTTTCGACCCTATCTTTACGGACGCCCATTTAGCGTACACTCTAAGCCACAAAGGGCAAAAAGGGGTCTAAGGTTTGCCCTTTTGGGGGATAACTGCATTGCCACAACTATTACTCCACAAAGGATGAACGATTCGTCCTTTCGGAAATAACTTTAAGGGGACGAACAGTCAGTCCGCAGTAGTTTTGAGAGAAGAAATGTAAAGGAATAAAAGTTACCCCTTCATGGGAGGAAGTGACTGCGTAGGGACGAACAGTTAGTTGCAGCACTTGCTCCTCGAAAAAAATGTCAATTTATTACACTTTGTAGCAAAGTTGAATTAGTGAGAACTTAGGTTAAATAATGCAGTTTAGAACGTATACAATCAAAAGAGAAGAAGTAAGTTTAGAAATACACTACAGATAATCCCTGGCATATACACAAGATTTTAACTCGCGACCATTGTATCAGCAGTCGCGTACACTAACCAGAACACCACGCTTCAGATCAGGGTGGAGTGAAAATTACCGGGGCATATGTAGGCACCGCTAGGACGCTGCGCGTTCTGCCATGTTGCTCAAACTAGGAATATTCCTAATATTGGACTTAATTTTTCAGTGTTTGGCAAGCATCCATTCGGTGATGATGGTCATGAAGATGTAAAATGAGTTGAGTAGGTATTCTTGTTCGCGTGCACGGTTCGAGCGCATTTGTGTGCTTGATGAGTGTATGTATATATGAATATTCCCACACTTGTTGTCACTGTGCCAAGCTTGGTCTATTCTTACAGTAAAGAGCGTTGTTGGTAATGTCGTTCAGCAAAAATGTCTGTTCTATGATAAAGAAAAACGAACACGTTTAAAGAAACCACCAAGTTTATTCAGTGACTCGTTTCAATCCTGCACCATTGTGCGCACGCATCAATTCAGCATGTTTTATGAGTACAAAAGAAACCATAGCTTTTGGTAGTCTATAGTAGAGACAATATGTTATACAATACTTTATTGAAATGGATGCTGTGCAGCCAATTTCATGAAGTGCACTCACACCATCCACAGCTGCTGAGAGCATGTTGGTATAGCCGCAAGATGTTGACTTTCCTCAGAAGGCAAAACGCTTTCATTCTTCGATTTGCTGAAAAAGTAATCGCAAAAACATTCAATATTTTCGACAGAACTGTCCGCGCACTTGTACTTACGTCCCATTGCGTAAAAACTAGATGCAAAGTGTTTTTTCACAGAATTCCTCATTATGCAATGGAACAGTTCAAAACGTGTTATGAAGTTCAAGCTCGTTCTCGAGTTTAACGCTTCATGCTTTCACTGAGATACGCTTGTGGGTCCACTTATTTATCAACTCAGCTTGCGCTTCATTTTATACACATAAAGTCAACATACCTAGCATCGCTACAAACGAGCGAAATCACCGACGTGGTCCTCAAGTGCCTGTGTTAGCGATGCCAAGCCAAGCTAGATATGCAGTGTTAACAGCTGACCCTTCTAATATACATGTTTACTTTGCATTTTGCGGGGTTGATGTAAACTTTTTTTTTTAAAGCCGCGACAATCTTTGCTGAGCAATGCTTATTTGTGCTGCACTGAAAGCAAAACAATTTTTGAACTGCTGTTTTGCTACAACTAATGTTGAGCTCTCATCGAGGCTACCATGTTTAGGTGGCCGAGATCTCACGCCTCTAATTCCTGAGTGGTCGGGGCAGCTCTCGCAACATTGTGTAGTGCGAGCTCTTCATGCATGCGGGTTTTCTTCGCGAAGAACCTGAGTGTTAAACAAGCGGTAGTCGTTAAATATCAACAGCACACAGGTAAAATCTCGTGAAGAGATGGCAGCCTTGTTTACACTCACCTCTCAGGCAATATCTCAATCGGAGCGTAGCATTTCAATAGCGTAACACTCCATTGCAGTAGCGGTTTACATTTGTCACAGCGCAAAGATGATTAAGTGCACTACAAGTAGCAGCACTCGCAACCACATAACACATCCACAACACACCACTAAACTAACAAGGTTTAGCTTGCCAAGAACACCACCACGCGCATTGATACAGCTGGAGCGCGAGCGTCTTTTTTCGAGGAGAAGGAGCTCACACATTTGCTAATTTTTATGCTACATAAACAATAGTATTTTGCTCCTTACGTAATCGTCGTAGTTGCCACGACTATTTGCACTAAAAAACTGTCAACAGCTGACTTATTTAGAAAACTATTTGCTTCCACGCATGCTGACCCTCCCTTTGAGGCTGCCACTGAACTATAAAGTTTCATTGGAGTAAACGTTGCCCCGTGTGGCCTAACCGTTAACCCTATGTTTCCACACGGCACCCTCGTCTTGCAGTTAATCCCTCCACAGACTATCTGTTGGTTGCGGGAGTGAAATGCAGCACTTACTCCAACTTCGCTCCCATTTTGCTCCTTTTCACGCTCACAGATCACCACGAATTATGCTTGATTTCCTCCTCAAAAGATTCATCCGACCGACTTGCCCGTTAGGCACTACGTCTGCTGGAGTAGGACATTCGTGTTGTGTACCAGTGTAGACGTAAACATTCTGATGGTGACGCTCTTTGCCGGTCACCTCTTCTATCTCACGATTCCTCTCCGTCTACATCGTTCTATGACGTGTGCTCACTCTCTGTCGTGCCTCTGGAGCACCAGCATTGCCCCTGGGTCGCTTCACTTATAGGTTTTATATGACGGCGTCCTCCGCACCCCATCACTTGAGAACTGCGGTGGCAATTCCATTCCTTTTGCATTCGAGATGGTGTGATCTATCATCGGAATTGCCTTTCCGAAGGGCGCAGATGGCTCCTCGTTATTCTCAGACATTTTTAGTCATGTATATATATATATATATATATATATATATATATATATATATATATATATATATATGCACACCTTTTCATGCCGATGCCGATCCACACTATAGACATGCAGGAATACCAAAAACCTATTACTTGCCTGCGCCACCGCAACTATTGGCGTGGAATGTACCGGTTGGTCCACCGCTACATTCGCTCCTGTCTCGCTTGTGAATGGCGCACAGATACTCCGCCCTCTGTTCCTGCTCCTCTGCAGCGTCTACCTTGTCCTGCCAGATCATTTGAACGTGTGAGCATTGATCTTTGTGGACCGTTGCTCATTACTTCTGCTGAGAACCACTATATATTAATCGCAATCGATTATTTGACGTGCTACGCAGAAACATCACCTCTGCAATCTGCGTCGGCGAGTGACGTCAGTTCCTTCATTTTACATCACCTTGTTTTACGTCATGGTGCACCACGTGAGCTGTTCAGTGATCGAGGGCGCGTATTTCTTTCCGAAGCCGTCGAATCGCTTGTGAAGAAATGCCGCATCATTCATCGCACCACCACAGCATATCACACTCAAACTAACAGCCTAAAAGAACGAATTAGTCAAACGATGGGTGGTATGCTGGCAATGGACGTCGATTCTGCTCACTCAAAGTGGTACAGCGTTCTCACCTTCGTGGCGTTCGAACACAATAATGCCCCTCAGACCACGACGAGATTCTCCCCAAACTTTCTCTTTTATAGATGCGAGCCCTCCTGCCTGCTCGACACCATTCTTTCATACCTCCCCGACGCAACTCAGACGGCAACCATTTCTGAAGCAGCTAAGTACGCGGAAGAGTGTCGCCAGCTTGTCTAATTCCGCACCACTTCTGGTCAACAGCGTCAGAAGCATCATCGCAACAGCTCGAAGGCTCCAGCGTCTTATATCTCTGGTTCACTTGTGTGGCTCAGGATCTCCTCCACCAGCCCTGGTCAGTCGTCAAAACTTTTCTCAAAGGACCATGGCTCTTACCGCGTAGTCCAGCAATCATCACCAGTCAATTATATCGTTGGGACGCTTGCAATGTCTCCTGATCAACAACGCCGCTGCCGTGAGACTGTGCATACAGACCGGCTCAAGTCTTACTACGACCCTAGTGTAGCCTCCTGTCCTTAAGTCACCAGGATGCGGCTTTTTCAGGAGGGGAGATAAATATAATGAAAAAGATCTGCGCTATTCTGAAAAGCAGACGGTACCCCTCTAAGCAGGAAGACGAAGACGTTCGTGGTTGGTGCATAGCGACGCATATATATATATATATATATATATATATATATATATATATATATATATATATGAACGCGTGTGTGTATTCTGAGTTGTCGAAGGAGTTACAGTAGTGTGGTATATAGTTTCGGGGAGGGAGATCCCATGCGGAGCGATTGGGTGCCATACGGCCGTTAACGTGGTTTTTAGGGCTAGTCGTTATGACGTTCCAAGCACATGCAGTACGTGCTGCTCTGATGATTGTGCTTCAGACACTTGTAGTATCTGTGCGTGCCATTGCCCTAGTATACAGTAACAGAAACATGCTAGTCTTTCTCAGATATTTGCGAGGAGATTAGCAATCGTTGGAGGTGCCATTGGTAGAGAGATTTCTTAGGCAATGGACGTACCTTGAACCAGCGAATCGCAGTTTCTTTCTTTAGTTTTCATTTTTTCTCATTCTAAAAGCAATTTCATATCAGCGTATATTGGTAATGGAGAATTGAATTTCATGCTGTCACCCTGTAGACCATAAAAATACTATTTATGATGTACTGAGTACTACAACTGAAATAATTGAGCGCATTCAGATAGAATTGCGTAACTCTCTTCACCCTGACCCCCTGGTGATGCAGGTAATTTCAAGGTCACTGGCCAAAACTTAGCATCTGAGCGCCGCTCGAATGAAGTTCGCAAGATGGACGGCCTCCGTTTTGTGGATACCTGGTTTAAGGAGCATCGCGATTACCCGCCCTCCCAAGTGAAGCACTTCCTGCCGAATTTCAGCCGGCGGCCTACCGGTCACTTTACTCAGGTAATGATGACATCTCCCTCCTTTGGAAAAAATATTTAATTATAAAATAATACAAAAATTTTCTGAAACCTGTTGTGAAATCACGTTTGAATTGTTCTTAATTTATTACTTTGGTGTGAACACTAAGCGTGAGTATTGTTTGCTTATTTATGGTCCCAAAGGCCGTGGCACTTGAAACAGTATTTTTTTGCCTATTTCACTCTATCGTTCTGCCACGGTGGTCTAGTGGCTGAGGTACTGGGAATCTGACCTGCAGGAACCAGGATTAAATCCCGGCTGCGGTGACTGTATTTTCGATAGAGATGAAAATGCTGTAGGCCAGTGTGTTCAGATTCGGGTGCACGTTAAAGAACCCAGGGTGTTTGAACTTTCTGGAGCCATTCACTGCACGTCTCTTAAATTCATATGGTGATTTTGGAATGCTAAACCCCCAAATTATTCAATGTTTAATTCTATCTTGTTTCATTATAGATAGTAGACAATAAAGGTGAACGTCCAAACGGCCTTTATTTCGTTACTTCAATATTTTAGAAATTAGGGAGTGTGGGCCAACTATGCTAATCTGCACGTAATACACAGAAGTGAATTTCGAATGAAGATAAGGTCCACTGCATTAGTGCTCCGTACCTAGTACATATTCTTGCAGGATTATAGCGAAACAACTGTCAGAGGATGAACATCTGGTAATGACAGCTTGATTTATTAGAGGAGGTGCAGGCATGCATTGCAAAGGCTGCATTGCATAGTGTGGCGATGACGTAGTGGTTAGAGCATCCGCCTCGCATGCAAGAGGTCCGTGGTTCAAATCCCGGTACCACGCAGTTTCCAACCGGATTAAAAAAAAATTCGCGTGTTGATGGAACTGCATTAAGAGGCCTGGGGCGCGGCCTCACCGGCAAACACCGCCGAGAACGCACTCCCTCACCAGAGAAGGATTGGCCACCCTGATGTATCTGGCCACTACCTCCCATATGCTTACGTCAAATAACTCACGGCCCTCAGTCCCCAGCAGCTGCGAAGCAACTGACCACGGTGGCGGTCAGATCTGCAACGCAGCAGAGGGTGCTAAGAATCTCTGGATCCGGACAGGCCGCCATTGGAACCTGAACTTGGCAACGCTTAACGCTAGAACCTTATCTAGTGAGGGAAGTCTAGCTGTACTATCCGAGGAGCTAGAAAGTGTGAGATGGGATATAATAGGGCTCAGTGAGGTTAGGAGGACAGAAGAGGCCTATACGGTGCTACAGAATGGGCAAGTCTTTTGCTACAGGGGCTTGGCAGACAGAAGAGAACTGGGAGTGGGGTCCCTAATTCACAGAAACATAGCTGTCAACATAGAGGAATACTATAGCATTAATGAAAGGCTGGTAGGTATTGTAATTAAACTGAATAAAAGATACAAGATGAAGGTGGTACAGGCTTACACGCCTACATCCAGTCATGATGACGCTTCAGTTGAAAGCTTCTATGAAGACGTGGAATTGGCAATGAGTAAGGTAAAAACACAGTATACTATAGTGACAGGCGACTTTAATGCAAAAGTAGGGAAGAAGCAGGCTGGAGACCAGGCAGTAGGAGATTATGGCATCGGTACTAGAAACGCCAGAGGAGAGCTACTAGTAGAATTCGCAGAACGCAATAATTTACGGATTTTGAATACCTTCTACCGCAAAAGAGAAAACCGCAAGTGGACATGGAGGAGCCCTAATGGCGAAAATAAGAACGAAATAGACTTTATAATGAGTGCACACCCTGGAATCGTGCAGGATGTGGAAGTGATTGGCAAGGTACGATGCAGTGACCATAGAATGGTACGGTCTCGAATTCGCCTAGACTTGAAGAAGGAACGACAGAAACTGATACGCAAGAAGCCAATCAATCAGCTAGCACTGAGAGGGAAAGTACAGGAATTCAGAGTGTCGCTTCAGAACAGGTACTCGGCTCTTAGTGAGGAAACCAACCTTAGCGTAGATACAATGAATGATAATCTGACGAGTATCATTACGGAGTGTGCAGCGGAAGTTGGAGGCAGGGTAGTAAGACAGGACACTGGCAAGCTTTCCCAGGAAACGAAGAACCTAATTAAGAAGCGGCAAATCATGAAAGTGTCAGTACAACAGACAAAATAGAGCTGGCAGAGCTTTCGAAGTTGATTAATAGACGTAAGGTATGCGATGTAAGAAGGTATAACATGGATAGAATTGAACACGCTCTGAAAAACGGAGGAAGTGTCAAAGCAATGAAGAGGAAACTTGGGATAGGCAAAAGTAGGATGTATGCACTAAGGGACAAAGAAGGCAAAATAACTACCAATATGGATAGGATAGTTAAAATAGCGGAGGAGTTTTACAGAGATCTGTACAGTAGTCGAGACAACCACGACCTTAATACTATAAAAACTAGCAGTAACCCAGATTACATCCTACCAGTAATGATAGAAGAAGTCAGAAAAGCTTTGGAGAGCATGCAAAGAGGCAAAGCTGCTGGTGAGGATCAGGTAACATCAGATCTGCTGAAAGATGGAGGACAGATTGTGTTAGAAAAACTAGCCACCCTGTTTACGAGGTGTCTCCTGACGGGAAGAGTACCAGAGTCTTGGAAGAACGCTAACATCATCTTAATACATAAGAAAGGAGATGACAAGGACTTGAAGAATTACAGGCCGATCAGCTTGCTCTCTGTAGTATACAAGCTATTTACAAAGGTAATTGCTAACAGAGTAAAGAAAACATTAGAATTCAATCAACCAAAGGAACAAGCAGAAATTCGAACAGGCTACTCAACAATTGACCACATTCATACTATCAATCAGGTAATAGAGAAATGCTCAGAGTATAACCAACCACTATACTTGGCCTTCATAGATTACGAGAAGGCGTTTGATTCAGTAGAAATATCAGCCGTGATGCAAACACTGCGGAATCAGGGCGTAGATGAAGTATATATAAACATTCTGGAAGAAATCTACAGGGGATCAACTGCTACCATAGTGCTTCATAAAGAAAGCAACAGAATACCAATCAAGAAGGGTGTTAGGCATGGGGGACACAATTTCCCCTATGCTATTTACCGCGTGCTTACAGGAGGTTTTCAGAAGCCTAGAATGGGAACAGTTAGGGATAAGAGTCAATGGAGAATACCTTAGTAACCTGCGCTTCGCCGATGACATTGCATTGCTGAGTAACTCAGGGGACGAATTGAAACTCATGATTACGGAGTTAGACAAGGAGAGCACAAAGGTGGGTCTTAAAATTAATCTGCAGAAAACGAAAGTAATATACAACAACCTCGGCAAGGAGCAGCCCTTCGAGATAGGTAATAGTGCATCTGAAGTTGTAAAAGACTATGTCTACTTAGGGCAGGTAATAACCGCAGAGCCGAACTACGAGATTGAAGTAACTAGAAGAATAAGAATGGGGTGGAGCACATTCGGCAAGCACTCTCAAATTATGACAGGTAGATTGCCACTATCCCTCAAGAGGAAGGTATATAACAGCTGTATCTTGCCGGTACTTAGCCACGGAGCAGAAACCTGGAGACTTACAAAGAGGGTTCAGCTTAAATTGAGGGCGACGCAGCGAGCAATAAAAAGAAAAATGGTAGGTGTAACCTTAAGAGACAAGAAGAGAGCAGAATGGATTAGGGAACAAACGGGGGTTAAGGATATCATAGCTGAAATCAAGAAGAAGAAATGGACATGGGCAGGGCATGTAGCGCGTAGACAGGATAACCGCTGGTCATTAAGGGTAACTGATTGGATTCCCAGAGAAGGGAAGCGGGTTAGGGGGAGACAGAAGATTAGGTGGGCAGATGAGATTAAGAAGTTTGCAGGTATAAATTGGCAGCAGCAAGCACAGGACCGGGTTAACTGGCGGAACATGGGAGAGGCCTTTGTCCTGCATTGGACGTAGTCAGGCTGATGATGATGATGATGATGATGATGATGATGATTGCAAAGGCTGTGTGCCGAGTGTGAGTCCTTGAGGACTTAACTTAAGAATGGCAGGAAGTATATTCTGAGTAGTTCGTGACTGAAAACAGCCGGCTTAATGTTGAAATTAGGCAGTTAATTATAACCTTATAAGAGGACAATGATCCAGAAACTTTGCTATTATCCCTAAACACGCTCACGTGTTTGGTTTATAATGCAGCCATCCGTGCTTAAATTCGCGTTTGCGTCTTTTCTTCAGTACTTTCACATAAATGTGTGGCACTTTTTGTTTCTTCATTTCTCACTTTTTGCAACGCAACTATTTGGCAACTATTTGGCAACCGCTTTGCTCAAAAGGGTACTTCTGCTTTTGTGAGCTTGTTGCTGTTAGTGACCCCACAAAGTATGACTCCACTGCAAACAAAAGAAATAAATGTGCGAAATTGGAAAGGGCTGTAATTACCGGGCTTCTTATGACACTTCCAGCATGGTTAGGCAATGACCTTATCTTGTGGTTGTCATGACATAAGCACGGTGTTTAAGCGTTAGTGTACTGACTTCGTGATTCTAATCTTATGCAAAAATATTTGCAAGAGGTGCGCAAACTCCATGTTTTGTTAGATAATTTTTGCTGTTTCTTAAGCCACTTTTGCTTTTTCGTCACAAATATTTATGTATTAATGTGACAGTAAGGAAAATAACTTCAAGGATTGTTTAAAATTCAGGATATTCTTTTTGCTGTCCTAATCTATGCTTACTTACGAATTTAAGGATGCGTAAACATCACTTTGACCTAACACATTCCAAGAAAACACAGGTAATGTAATATGTACTACATATTAGATAGAAGTTTTAAAAATGATCTTGGTGGTTGTTTGCATTACCTGTTGTGTGCAGATGATATGGGCAGACACGCAGTACCTTGGCTGTGGGTTCACCATGTTTCGCATGAAAGGTGACTTCGATGCTATGCCATACCAAAAACACTACGTCTGCAACTATGGTCATAGGTGGGTATACGCTTTATCAGCCTTGACGCACTATGCGAATATGCTTCATATAATAAAGTCTGCAAAGCCAGCCACAACGTAATATTCAACGAATACCTTATAACTGTGCGTTGAGCTGAGGTGGTGTGATCACACAAAGCATACAATTCACAAAGTCGGTTTAAGGACTGTTATTGGTTTAGCAATACAACCATCTGCCCAGAAAAATTGTTGGTTGAGTAGATCTGAAGTCGGTTACGTGTGCGGAGTAGCAAGGGGGGGCTGGACGTAGAGTGCAGAAGCTCGGAAGGTGTGGCGGCAGTGAGTTGGCGTTCGTAAATAGATAGTGAAGTAAACAAACATATAGAAATCTTACCAGTGATTACAATACACTATTCGGCTAAATTTGAGACCACCAGGCGTCTGAGGTTAGCGACGCTGAGCATCTGCCCGGGCCGCATATGGAATGTGTCCGAAGCACAACAATTACTTAACTTAGCTAACTTAGCTTAACTTCTCCGTGGTTTGCACTCAACTAAACTGCGCCAATGTGCAAAGTTCCGCCAACTACTCCTGGAGAGACGAAAGGGTTGAAAGTGCAAGGAAGCAGAAGTTGCACGAGCAGTGGAACTGAGGGTGGAAAACATGTCACCTTGCCGGAAGCATTAGCAGGCGTGAGCTCTCACGCGCACACTCCAGGGTTTTAGTGCACAGTGGGTACGCTGTTGTTTTAACAAGTAACTAAGCATGCACTCTGTCGGCTAGAGAACACTCATGCTCTTTAAACTGAAGCCTCCATTTTTTTAAGAGCGATGAGGGCTCAGACAAGATTGCGCCGGCGCGGTGAATTCGAAGCATACGCTAACGCTGCATCTATCCTTCGGTTTCTACTCATCTTCTCATGCTCCCGCTGTACATTCTTCAGCTTTCCTGATCGTGCTTTCTTTGTTATGACTGCCCCTGAATAACAGGCTGTGCTCTGTTTCCGGTGTTCGCTCTCTTTCATCATCTCTTGCTTCAATCGTTCCTCGTTATGAAGAAGACCACGACGCGAAACCCTCAAACAGGCGCATAGAAGCGATGCTCTAAGAGTTCCTCCGGCAAGATTTGTTCTCTGAGCGGTTAGTTCTGAGGCACAGTGCTCTAAACGCGTCTGGTGCAAAGGAGCATCATTAGGAACGTGCCCCATGCAACGAAAATTGTTCAGACGCTTTGCATGTTTTCAGCAACGCTGATGGTTTCCTGGGGAATTTTCCGCTAGCAAGTCACTGTCTTGAGACGCTTCGTGCACTTTCCAAATGTTGACTATTTGATGTCGGTCTCATTTCGTACGTACACTAGTGATGTGCCGGAAATACAGCACTGCTGGTGGCACAATTTATCGCGCTTGTAGTCCAGATTGTGTGCTCTTGAAGAAGACCCCTGCTGTCGGATTACTGGAACACAGTCGAGCCATCCAGCATCAGAACAAGCGTACGATTATCCACCACTTTTACATCGGCGAGCTCACCGGCCGAATTTCGTAACTAGTAAAATGACAAATAATCCAAACATAACACCAATGCAACACACCGAGAACATCGCACACAAAATATAACCCATACAATGTACCGCTAACGTGGTGACGCCGTAGTCCCAATCACTGTTAGGGACGCGCGGGAAACGATCTCCGGGATTGTCCCCGTGGGCCTCCCGGGAGAGACGTCATTCCACAGTCACGCCAAACCCAAACGAAAGATATATATATATATATATATATATATATATATATATATTGTAGTGGGGAAGAGGGATAGAGACAGTATCTAGTTGGAGCACCTGAACGACGACTACGACGAAGAGCTGAGCTCGTGACAGTGACTGACGCCTCTTGAACCAGGCAGTTGGTTTTATTCAACAAACTCCCTTATAATTTGGTGGAAGTGCTGGGTAGTCTTCGAAGCTGGAACTACGAAGTCGCACGTTACCTGCAGTGCCAGTAATGCCGGAAGAATCCTCCACCTAAAGTACCTCGCAAGTTCCCGCCTCTACATGTCCCGGCGTGTGGCCACTGCGTCACCCACCGATCTTCAGCGGCACTGACGGCCAAGACGTTGAGGAGTGGCTGGCTACTTACCACAAGGTGAGCGCAGCGAACAAATAGGACGATGCGGCTAAAGTGACCTATGTAAGCTTTTACTTGTGTGGCGTCGCTAGTCTCTGGTTGCGCAATCACGAAGCCGACATTGCCCGCTGGGATTCATTCAAGGCCTCCTTTTCGCAAGTCTTCGACCGCCCTGCTGTGCGAAAACTCCGCGCAGAAGAACGACTTTGTGAGCGCGCTCAACAGCCAGGAGAGGCCTTTACCAGCTACATTGAAGACGTTGTTGACTTGTGCAAGCGGGTAAACCCAGCGATGCTCGAAGCCGACAAAATCAAACAAATCCTCAAAGGCAAATGCGATGACGCATTTCAAATGTTGTTAGCCAAGAACCCACAAACCATTGCCGAACTCGTCAGCTTGTGCCAGAGTTTTGACAAATTGCGCAAGCAACGCGCCCAAACACGGCGCTCTCTGGAACAACGTGATTCGATCGCGGCCTTGACTCTCGGAGACCAGAACGACATGTTGGCTCGCATAAAGCAGTTCGTGCGTGAGGAGGTCACTCGGCAGCTCTCCATTTTATCGAGCGCGCCCGAGCGAGCACAAACGCATCCTTTGGCCCCAGATCATCTGGCCCCGGTCATAAGGCACGTCATACAAGATGAGGTAGCGGACGCTTTGCGTTTCGCTCGTTCACCACCTCTGGAGGCCGCACCCTTGACGTATGCGCAAGTCGTTGCAGCCAGAGCAACTCGACAGCCCACTTATGCTGTATTCTCACCGATCCCTGTTCGGTCATCACCAGTTCCGTTCAGGCGGCCAATTGCAACGTTTCCGAATCCGTGGCGCGCCGCAGACAACCGCCCGATTTGCTGTTCTTGCGGTTACGCAGGACATGTGGCTCGCTTGTGCCGCCGCCGCCCTCTCGTTCATAGCGACACCACGCAAAGATCGTCGCACGACTCTCGGTGCTTTAACAATACGGCACGTCAACAAGGATACTCTTCACCCGACCGCCCTCCCTCAGTCAGTCACCGATCTCCATCTCCCCGACGTCGCTCCCTGTCGCCTATGCGCCGTAGACCCTGCCCTTCAGACGCGGAAAACTAATGCCGCAGTTCCTGAGGCACGAACTGCGTCGTCGTCGAAAGAATCAAGTCCTCGCATTTCTCCGACAAACCTCATCGACGTTTTTGTGGATGGTTACCGTACCCTTGCGCTTGTGGACACTGGTGCTGCCGTTTCAGTAATTGCTTTAAAACTTTGCCGTCTGCTTCGGAAGGTTACCACGACGCCAAAGGGGTTGTCCCTCCGTACTGCCAGTGCTCACCATATTCGACCATCAGCTGCCTGTACCGCCCACGTTCTCATCCAAGATGTTTTGTATACCGTTGAATTTCTTGTGTTACAGGCGTGTTCTCATGATGTGATCCTCGGCTGGGATTTTCTGTCTCGTAATCATGCGGTTATCGACTGTGCTCGTGCTGAAGTGCCCTTCTCTGCGTTGTGTGCCTCGTCTACAGAATTTCCGTCGAACAAGCTGTTTGTCGCTGACGACATCGACATACCACCGACTAGCGCAGCCTTTATTCCCGTATCTTGTGCCGATGTGTCTAAGCCTGTAGTGTTGTTTACGCCTTCCCAAGCATTCCAAAGTCGCAAGAGCCTCGCGTTGCCGTTTGCAGTTCTAGATATTTCGGCGGGCGCTACCAATTTGTTTGTCACAAATCCCTTGCCGTCTCCCACAACCTTGCATCGCGGAGAATGTATTGGAACATTCCAAGACTTAGACGTTTCCTCCACCTTCAACCTTGACGGTGAAAGTGATTTGCAGCTTAATGCATTGACGCCATCTGCCCATTCAATTGTCCACGAAAACAATAATTTGCTTGGCCTCTCAATTGATGGCGAACTTGAAGAACCACACCGCGAAAAGCTTCTAGAACTTCTTCACCAGTTTCGCGGCTCGTTCGATTGCCAGCAGACGTCCTTAGGCCGAACGCACACCGTTGTCGATCACAATAACACCGGCTCCAAGCGCCTTTGCGACGGCGTCCCTACCGTGTATCTTCTGTTGAGCGTCATGTGATCACCGAGCAAGTGGCCGACATGCTTCAACGTGGCGTCATTCAGCCGTCCAGCAGTCCCTGGTCTTCACCTGTGGTACTTGTGAGGAAAAAAGACGGCTCGATTCGCTTTTGCGTCGATTACCGCCGTTTAAACAAAGTCACGATTAAAGACGTATACCCTTTGCCGCGCATCGATGATGCCCTGGATTGCTTGCAAGGCGCTGAATTCTTCTCTTCACTAGACCTACGGTCCGGTTATTGGCAGGTCCCCATGGCACCATCAGATCGCCCAAAACTGCTTTTGTGACGCCCGATGGGCTATACGAATTTAATGTAATGCCCTTCAGCCTTTGTAATGCACCAGCCACATTCGAAAGGATGATGGATAGCGTCTTGCGCGGGTTAAATGGAAGACATGCCTATGCTACTTGGATGATGTCGTTGTTTTCTCCTCTGATTTCGACAGCCACCTCCATCGTCTCAGCGAAGTTTTGTTGAGCTGCCTCACGAGCGCAGGCCTTCAACTAAACATCGAGAAGTGCCACTTTGGAGTTCGGAAGCTCACAATACTTGGTCACGTTGTCTCTGGGAGGGCGTTCTCCCAGACCCAGAGAAGCTTCGTGCTGTCGTTGAGTTCCCGAAGCCTACGACCGTGAAAGCGCTTCGCAGCCTTGTCGGACTATGCTCGTACTTTCGCCGCTTTGTGAAAAACTTTGCTTCGATAATCGCACCATTGACACAGCTGATCTCGGGTGATGGACACCTCTCTGATTGGTCGCCAGCATGCGAATATGCTTTTGCAACATTACGCCATTTTCTTACTTCAGCACCTATTTTACGCCACTTCGACCCTACTGCTCCAACCGAGG